CCTTTCCTGGGGAGGCAGGTAGATGGAGAAGCACCGTTTGCTATAATTGCGCTCAGCTGGATACATTCATGATTTGTACTATTAGGCAGTGGAGGATGAAACAAAGGTTTTGGCAAGGAATGCTTCAAAAAGCTCGAATTGCAAGAGCAAACAAAACAAAACAAACCTCATCTGCAGACCACTGGTGTTACAGTAATAAACATAGAAGAAGGGAAGAAATTCCATTTCTGAATTTTTATTGACAAAAAAATCTGAGATAGAATAATGGTCCTAAGAAATTATGAAAAAAAAAAACCCCACAGTGATAACAATTTCATAATCAGTAGAGTTGATACTGGATAAAAATATTGAGTAAAGATAACTTCAGTTTCATTCTCAGAACTATATTTTCAGATCTAAATAAACTGTAAGTTAAATCAATAGCCTGAGTGTCGGTTTCAAAAGTATTACAAACCTAACCTGAGCCAGTTCAAGAACAAGGCAATTATCAAAGCTGCTGCTGTTCGCCACCATCAAGAACAAACCAGAGGGGAATCTCACTGAGCAGTTAGATGAAGGGAAAGTCATGGTGCACATGCTGATTAAGGACTGTAGCCTATTCCTCTGGATAAGGGGGGCCCATCCGCGGGTCGGTTCATTGTTAGTTAAAACAAATCGTATCGCTCCTTGGTCAGGAAAGAGTCTGTAATCAGGTCCAATGCCAGTCTTGCTGGCCTGTGCTGAGTCGCTCAAAGCTTACGATTCTTTAAGAGTGCTGGCTGGTTAGAATAATTTCAGTGAAACAGTTTTCATTTTCATATCTCCTAGGCAAGTGCTGCTATTAGGAAACATTTTTCCTTTTACGCAATTATAATTTAAAGAAAGGCTTCTATGTAGATTGACAATATTATGTAATATTACTTCTACAAGATCAAAGTGTTTATTCCCAACCAAATTAAGTTAGAGAAAGTGTATTTCAAAAGCAATCAAACCCATGAGTTACATCAACAATGACTAAAGAAAATAATCTGAAGATAGAATAATAGCCCATGCTCTATGTAAATCAAATCAGCCATTGCAAATTGATGTCTATACAATATATACATATATTCATTTACAAAATATATGGACATATAAATATAGTTACCATATTTGTAAAGTATAAGAGTAATTAAAAAAACCTAGGTACCTCCTACTCAGTTCAAGAAGTCATGAAGTATTGGCAACTTTGAATTTCACTCTCAGTGAAATTAACTTCCATCCTTTTTAAATCATATGCATATATATATAAATATACTTTGCATATATATGTGTATATATATATATATATGCAAAGTATATTACTTTTGGTTTTAAAACCCTAAAATCAGGTTTGATCCTACAGTTTAGCTTATTTTTTTTGAAATGTTATTATACCATTGATAAGGTTTTAGAATTCAGTAAAGTGGGCATTTTAAAATGAAAAGAACCAAATATTTAGCATTCTAAGTGGGTGGGTGACCACATTCCCTTCTCCCCCCTCAGGGTATACATAAAGAAGCTCCACCCAGAAAACCCGCCAAAAGTCCTTTAAAAGCCGCTGACTCCCATCACTGGTCACTGGGTGCTAGAGCCACCCAGGCTCAGCCACCTGGTGTGCGGGTGATCGAATAAATTCAGAATCCCTCACCAAAAAAAAATGTCTATGAAAGCGAACTTTAATATTGTAGAGGAGGAAAACATTTTTCTCTCCCTGCCTAGGTTCTCTGGCTGGAGCCCTACAAAAGACAGAGCAAACCGAAAAAAAACAGACTTTTATTAACATGTGCATCTCTCTGACACAGGGAAAACTCTGTGATAAGTGACACAACACAGTGGTTAGAACATGGCTTGGATGGCATCTTAACAAAAGATCAATAACTTTTTAGAAAAGTGACTAAGTAAAAGGATTTTGGGCAGCAAATTGTGGGATGGTAAACATATAGGAGATAAGGGCTGATTAGTAATGTTGGTTCTGTAGATTCCTCTGGTGCTATCTCTGGGCTCATTGAGGTCAGAATTTAGAGTTTTCTCAGGCGACTAACTTGTGTCCTTCCTGGTAGAGAAAAGAGAGGACACCTTTATAAATTTATGTCCTGCTTTTAGGCAAGTAGGTGGAAGGCAGAGAGCTGTCCTTGTATGGGCTTCTTTTCAATTGCCTTCAGCTCAAAAATGATCCTTATGCCAAAGTGACATATTTGCAGGTGGCATATTCTGCAACTCTTCAGTATTAAATATGAATTAAAAAAAGGAAGGAGGTGGAGTTGGAAAAAGGAATGTAGGGCATGGACTCTGAAAACCAGAGTAATAATTCCATGTTATGCAGATTGTTGAGCTTTGAGAAGTGATTACATAGCTAGCAAATATGTTCCCACAAATCTGTAGGTTGCTTTAATTTCCTTAGTGTTAGGAATTGTCTTTCATTAGTAACTCTTTAGAGCTGAACAATATGGGATAGTGAAGACTCCAAGAGGAGGAGGAACCTGTGGGGACAGATTAAAATAATTTTACCTTTACAGGACTTTGGAAGTTGAAAAACAGGGCCCTGGGTAGAGAGCCAAAATTATCTTCAGTCCCCTGGATGGAGAAAAATTGCCAATATCTAGAAGGAAGCAATTTGCATTTTAAGGTGTATCCAATGATCTGAGAGATAGCAAGCAACACACCCAGTGAATAATAACTTCATCTGCTGCAAGCTTTTCTTAACATCTCTATTTAGTGCTTGAATGCACCCTTCTATTTTATTCTCCTATCTCCTACTCTCCCAGAGTACCGAGCACTACACAATATCACAAGTTATCATTTCTAAGGCGAACGACATCTAATGCTTATCATGGGTGGTAGGTGTGTAGACTAACTCTAAGGAAAGCTATATTTCCACATCCCACTTTTTTGCCATTTCACAGTGAAAATGTAAATTGCAGATCTCTCTGCGCTCAGATTGTCGCTGGGTCCCCTGCAGTTACAGAAATAATGCTCTTATCATCAGAAGGTCAGAGCTTCTTACCTGGAGGACCATGGGGAGCACAGCTCCTGCTTCCCAAATTGGATCCTTTTCTTACGCAGCTGCATCTTCTTTGCCTCCGGGCACTTTCCTGATACTCATTTATTTCAAAGCTTCATTATCCAGAAAAGAGGAATTGTGATTGTCTCTGGCTCTCTGAAACTATAACATTTCACAAGAACTGAGTCTATGTCAAGTTAGCTCATTTTTTTTGGCCATTAGGTAACCGATTTATTCGGTGTAAGTGGTACAGGATGTTTCTCAAAGATACCCTTCAGAAAGTCGTCATCCGAGCTTCAGAGGGCGTTTCTGTGTACCATCCCCACTGCCTGCGAGGGTTCATTTTATGTGTCAACTTGGCTAGGTCATGGTACACAGGCATTTAAACATTGGTTTAGATGCTGCCACATGAAGGTATTCTTAAGATCAGATTAACATTTAAATCAGTGGAATGTGAGGAAAACAGCTTCTCTGAAACTATAACATTTCACAAGAACTGAGTCTATGTCAAGTTAGCTCATTTTTTTGGCCATTAGGTAACCGATTTATTCGGTATAAGTGGTACAGGACGTTTCTCAGAGATACCCTTCAGAAAGCCGTCATCCGAGCTTCAGAGGGCGTTTCTGTGTCCCAGCCCCACTGCCTGCAAGGGTTCATTTTATGTGTCAACTTGGCTAGGTCATGGTACACAGGTATTTAAACATTGGTTTAGATGCTGCCACATGAAGGTATTTTTAAGATCAGATTAACATTTAAATCAGTGGAATGTGAGGAAAACAGACTATCCATTACCCACTCTGCAATGTGGACCCCAGAGAAGAGGTCATTCTGCCTTCAGACTGGAGAAGCAACCAACACCTTTTCCTCCACAATCCTTTCCATCAATCCTTCCTCCCTCCCCATATGTAGATAAACACGTGTCTATGTATATTTTTAACATATGTGTACATATTTACACACATATGCATATCTATAGGGTGTCCCAAAAATGTATATACACTCTTTGAATAATTATAAAGGCAGTGTTTATTAAAATACATTTCATTTTCAAAACTGAGCTATCAGCTGTTAAAGCGTGTATACATTTTGGGGGGACACACTGCATATAAATCATGGAACTCACATACATCCTACTGGTTCTATTTTTCTTTACAACTCTGACTACTCTACTACCCCTCTATATAATTGCTTTAGTACATTTTAAGAAGCTTAAATATATTTCCTAAGATGGCTTTAATATTCCCCTCATCTTGACAAATTTTACATAGGATTCTTCTAACCTCCCTCATCTAGAACATTTATGTTAGAAAACTTGTAACTAGACATTCCTTTTCTGTCCTTTGAGATACACATCTTTTAAATAGCCTCTCGCCAGTGTTACATCCCATCTCTTGGAATGTCGACATCAAGGAAGATAGCACCCCTACCCTCCCCAGTCCGTGTGACAATGTATGAGCCTAATTTTGACATGTGCTTTTGCTCTTGGTTGCAAAGCTACCTTCTGTCACAAAGATCGCAAGAGCTGACTTTTCCTTTGGGTAAATTCAGTTACCAAAAGTAGATGGGCTGTGTTCTCCCTCACGCTCCTGCCCTTTGTCTCGGTGAAGTTGGGCTCAGATTGAGTGTGACTCTCTCCCCTATCACAGTGGCTTAGAATCTAGTCTTCCTTGCCAGGGCCTGCCCAACTCGCTTTGGCAATATGAAGAGGATACTCTTTCCTAAAACTGATACTGAAGTTGCTAATAATTGGCCAGAATTCTCAAACAATAAGGGTTTTCATGATATGTCTAGGTCTGTTTAGTCATTCAGAAAATGGGTACCTGTCTGAAAATGAACATGAAGTTTCTTATTAAAGCATACGCTGCACGGAAGAAATAAATAATAAATACAACTCTAGAAGTTAAAACACACACAGTTTTGAGTAAATTGGTGAACCAAGAGAAAGTGTGGCAGCCATATGGAGTGAATGTCAGTTGTCTCTGTTTGTACTGACCTTCCTCGATTCACCTGCTTATTGTAGATCCATTTCTGTGGCACGACTTTCTTCTCCTCACTCCTCTGATCCAAACTTCTCAATTCCCCACTGTGAGCAAAGATTAAAACCAAAGTATCTTAGCTAGGTATCCAAAGTTCAGCATAGTCTTAATCTCGATTTGAAACTATATAATTCTGGAAAATGAGGGCTAAAGTATTTCTCTGGTGTTGAAAGACACTGTGTTATTTGTGAATGCCTAATATCAGTTATTTTAAGGTTTTGTTTTCCTCTTGGGATAATCTAATTCCCTAGAGATAAATGTTTATCTGTTGAATTTAAGCCTCACAATTAAATAGTTGTGAATTATAGACTAGATCCCTCCTCATATTGGAGATAATGAAACACAAATCACAGTGCAAGCTCCTCCTCACTTTCCCCCTCTTAATCCTATTAGGGTGGCCAGTGCACCCCGTCTGGACCACGAGGTAGATGGTCTATTTGTCTTGCTTTGAACTGAAAATTCGCCTTCTAAAGAACGTCCTTTCCTATGATGATATATAGTCTTCCTACGCACAACAATGTGCCCATCATTAAGTCATGACCTTCTAGAATTTGTCCAAACGGGCAGAAGCGTCAAGCTCCCCACCGCCCACTAGATCTGGCCCATCTCATAGAACTGATACTTCTCAAATGACTTACTCAAGAGCTAGATGTAAGGCTCAGGTCAGATCAGTGCATTTCACTTGTTTAACACGTAAGTTACATGTACTCAGTACAAGGCAGCATCCAACACCAGCCCCAAGTGGGTCAATGTCTTTACACACCAGAGACTTCACTGAGTCCACAGAGTCCGTGTCCAGAGTTTTTATTAAATCGCTGGACATGTGACTGAATGCAATCTGCAGGTGCCCCCTCTTCCCAGAGGTCAGGCTGGCCCAAAGTTCCATCCCTCTAATCACATGGTTGGTCTTTTGTGGGACCAGTCTCCACCCTGAAGCCATCTAGGGGCCTACCAGGACCTACCTCATTAGCGTAATGAAGACACTCCTGTCTCTCAGGAAGCTCTAAGGGTTTTGAAGTTCTGTACCTGGAACCAGAGACAAAGAAGAGATTTACTCTTTATTATACCACAAATTGTTGCTCTGAAAAGTTAGGATGCGTGAGAACTACAAAGGAGATTGCTTAAAATCAAGCTTCACCCTCTGCAAGTCTGAATTGAGGGTCAGAACTTCCTAATTTTCAAGAGCATATAAAGAATTCCATGTAGCTGATGGGTGGAGAGTGTAAATTGGCACAATTACTTGAGAAACAAATATCTGTCAATAGCCACTAAAATATCTGTACCTGATAAAAGTGTCCACTGGCTGGAAAAATGATGAAACATTCTGAAATGCATACCCCGCCCCCCCCACCACACACACACAAAACATGACTGGGTTTCCCAGTGCTCCCTGTATTTGTTTCTGAGCTATTTTAGGGTGGCAGGAAACATAATACTGAAAATTATTTTTCCATAGAAATGCTAGTGAATGCAACTGTTTATTGTCCTGTAAATGTTGACCAGTTTAGCATTTGCTTGTAAATTCATTCCAGCATTCCTGATGGCCTATCTGGAACCAATGGGACATTTTGCTGGCTTGCTATTTAGTGTGTTATATAAAATCTACAGCATGCATTCTTTGTATATTTGTATGGAAGTCATGATTTTTCACTTTAAAAAAGCATTTACCACCACCCAAAACAAATGCTAGACAACTTACAGAAGCACTGTTGGTCATACACGTGGGTAAGAAAGGGTGAGGTGTGGGTCTGCACCCCTGCTCCGTCCTCCTCGTGCACAGTTCAGGCTGTCTTGTCCTCCTACAGGCACGCTGATGGAATTTACTAGCTGGAAGATAAATGAGGGTCTTCTGGGGCTGCTGTATCCTGATTTCTTACCGTAGAAACCCTTTTAGTATGCGCTGCCTGGCGTGTCTGGGTTGTATATTGTAAATAAGCCTCCTGTGAGGATGGGCCGGGGATGGGAGTTATCACTTCATCCCTCTTGAACCCAAAAGGCCTCCTTGGTGTGGAAAACAAGGTGACCTATGGAGCTGCATCTAGAAAGGGGCGCAGTAATGACTGCTGGTGATACTGTGTCGGAGCATTTTAGAAAGTATTCTCTCATCCGATCCTCTTGGAGGTGTAACTCTGTGGTCACAGTCTATTTGACTAACAATCCACAAGTGATAAATGTGCAGGTAGTTTAGAGCTCAATACAGTTAGAGGTTAACCAGGAAATATCGATAATTTAATTTATTGGCCTTTAGACAGCCAGTCTTATACATAATTTAGCAATCTCATTTAGACATTTCTTTCTTGACTAACCGATCTCCTTGTTTCTCAACTGCTGTAAGTGAGCTCCCTTCTATTCCTGACGGTTTCCTCACGGAGTTTAATAAAATTGTGAGAACTGTGCTTTACATTCTCTTATCGGGACTAAGAAAAAAGGCATTCTAATATACTGTCATGGAAATAGAGGTCACATATTTCATTATCTACCCTTAAATATTTTTTGAATTTCAGTATTTTAATTTCTAAGTGCAATCATTTTTCAATTGAAAAGGTTAACAAGTCAAGAAATATTTTTGTAGGTATCAACAAATTCAATATTTACCCCAAACAACTCCGATTATGGTTAAGGCCATTGTGAGCTTTTTGTCCTTCTTACTTCTGGTCATGGTGGAAAGGAACATTTATTTTTAAAAGGCTCCCTGTATCCATTCCGTCAGACCAACAGCAATATTTACCTTCACAGAACTCTATGCCCTTGTGGGGGTCAACATCACAATGGGCCTGTATTTTATGAAGAAAGAAACCCCTGTAGTTTTTCTTAGATGGGAGAGTTGAAAAAAATGTAGAAGTAAATTACTCTCCAAAATTAATATAAAATGGTATTTTGTAGAAAAAAGGCTTGCTTTTTCTTTTTAATTTCAAATATTTTAAAAACATATCTCCCTGTTAGTTACAGTATGGGCTCTGTCCTTTTGTTCTATATTTATGGGTTCTGAATTATTTTTAATGCCTGTAATAGAGTTCCAATTTCCAGTCCTTCATGTAAGAAGCTTAGGAGTCATTACTACATCCTAACAATAAATCAAAAAGTCAATAACTCATCTTAGATCTGTCAGAGATGTGAGGTCACAGGGCAAACTACTACACCAAACCTGGAGACACAGACAGGTAAATTAAGAGACTCAAACCTGACAAGAGCAGGAACCTATGCTGGAACCAGTGCTGGCTTCCCTTTCCCAGCACATCATGTCCAGATACGGAGAAAAGCTTCGGGGAATACTCGGAGGTAAAACACACTGTTAGAAGAGCACATCCGAGCCAGACGCAGATACGTCAGGGATGTTGGAATTATCAGACTGGAATGTAAAACAATGATAATTAATATGCTAAGGGCACTAAACCACAGATCCAGGAAGTGCAGGGAACTCAAAGAATAAATGTTAAAAAGAAAGCAAAAAACCTACTCCAAGGCACATTATATCCAATTTTCAGAAAATCAAAGACAGAAAATTATTGATAAAATGCAGAGGATAAAAGCATCTTATCTAGAGAGGAACAGAGGTAAAAATTATGTCCAACTTCTCCTCAGAAACCATGCAAATAGGAGAGGGGAGTGAAAAACTTTGTGTTGAGAGAAAAAACTCACCAGCCTAGTCTTCTGTACCCAGAAGTGAAGGAGAAATACTTTCTCAGACAAGCAAAAATAGAGCTTTTTTTTTTTTTTTTAACCAGTAGAACTGCTTTGCAAGAAACGTTAAAAGAAGTTCTTCAGAGATAAATAAAAATGATTTAGTTTTTTTTTTTTTTTTTTTTTTTACCAGTAGACCTGCTTTGCAAGAAACGTTAAAAGGAGTTCTTCAGAGATAAATAAAAATGATTTACTTCAGAAATTCTAATCTGTATAGAGAAAGGAAGAGCAGTGGAGAAGAAGTAAGTAAAGGCAGAGTAAAAATGGTTAATTTTCTTATTCTAAATTGATCTAACAATAACAGTAACAATGTATTTGATTATATGTGTTTATATATGTTTATGTAATCTTATATAGAAATGAAATATATACAAAGGATGGGGAGAAAGAATTAGGATTATTTTATCATAAGGTACTCACGCTACTTGTGAAGTGGTATAGTATTTGAAAGTGGAATTGGATATTTGTATATTGGAAACTCTAGGGCAACCTCTAGAAAAGATTTTAAAAAGCATAGCTGAGAAAATGGAATCATATAAAATGCTCAGTTAAAACCACAAGAACAGAAGTCAAAAATAGGAAGAGAGAACAGGACAACAAATAGTAAACAGTAACAAATATGGTAGATGTTATCCAACTATATCAATTATCACTTTAAATGTTAAGGGTCTAAATACATTAATTCAAAGACAGGGATTGTTAAGGTGGACCAAAAAGACAAGGCTTAACTATATGTATTTTATAATAAACATACTTTAAATATAGGTTTAAATGTAAATATAGGTTTAAAATGAGTGGATGGAAAAATGAGTGGATGGAGAAAGATGTATCATGCTAACACTAATTAGAAGGAAGCAGGAGTACCTATATTAATTTCAGACATAGCAGAGTTCAAAGCAAGGGAAGTCATCAGGCCTGAAGAGTGGCATTATATGATGATAAAGGAGTTAATTCTCCAAGAAGACATAATGATCCTTAATATGTATGTGCCTACAGTAGAGCGTCAAACTACATGAGGTAAAAACTGATTGAAGTGCAAGGAGAAATAGATTAATCTGCTGTTAGAGGTGGAGACTTCAACACCGTGTATCAGCAATGAACAGATCCAGCAGGCAGAAAATTAGTAAGGACATAGCTGAACTCCACACACCATCGATCAAATGGATATTATGTAGTCTACAGGCTACTTCATCCAACAAGAGCGATTACACATGCTTCTAATGCTCACAGGGAACATTCACCAAGATAGACCACATTATGGGCCATAACACACCTTAACAAATTTGAAAGAAACCACACAATGTGGGCTCCCTGACCATGATGGAATTAAACTAGAAATCAATACTAGAAAGATAGCTGAAAAATCCCCAAATACCTGGAGATTTAAAAAGACACTTCTCAACAACACATAGGCCAAAGAAGAAATCACAAGAGAAATTTAAAAATATTTTGAACTAAATGAAAACACAACTCACCAAAATTTGTAGGACACAGGAAAGCAGTGCTTCCAGGGAACTTGCGGCTGTGTATTCATGGGCCTGCCAGCCCTGCACTGCTCCTCTTCCAGTTTCTTTGACCTTTGAGCCAGATGCCTGTTTAGCTCTGACAAGGGCACCAGCTCTCCCTGCAAGACACCCACATCATCAAGGTGGAGGGCAGTGCACACTTACACAGGCTCCACGCCATCCTCCGAGGCCCAAGCTATGTTTGTGGGTTCCGCCTTGTCTGTGATCACCCCATTTTACATTTATCATTCCTGTTTACCTGCCTGTCTTGTTGACTTCAAATTCCAACATCAGATACAAAGACAACAGCCTTAAAGAGACTGCAAACCAGCTCCCACATTGGCTTAAGGTCTAATCCCTGTGATAGATTAGATAACAGAGAACCTCCAGGTAACCTCTTGCTTCAGGATGAAAGATTGGATGTTTCCCTCTAATGTCAGGAACAACACAAGGTGTTCACGCTTATAATTTCTATTAAGTGTTGTCCTGGAGTGACTAAATAAAGAAAGAAAAGGCATGATGCTGTTAGAAATGAAGTTGTGAAACAGTCTTTAATTACAAATAGCATGACTATCTATGTAGAAATTAATAATCTACATAAAAAACTACTAAAAAAACACAAGTGAGTTTAGTGAATGTATAGGATGTAAACCAAACAGGAAAGAGTACATACAATATAAATGTAAGACTCTTTTTAACTCTAGAAAACAGGAAGCTAATCTATCCTGACACAAGGACCAGTGGTTGCCCGAGGCGGGACCTTGGTGTGGATTTGACTGGAAAGGGATACAAGGGACCCTCTTGAGGTGATGAAACGTCTATGTTTTGAGATGTTGATGCTCGTGTTAGTGTATACATTTTTAAAAATTCATGAAAATCTACACTTTAGATGGATGTGTTTACTTTGTAAAATATAATTCAAAGCATTTTAGAAAATTTTTAAAAATCACCAACACTTATGTCAATCCAATTTTTAAAATGCTGATAATCCCCACCCATTTCACAACCGCATTCAAGAATATACATGGCTAGATTCTTTTTAAATTTTGCGATTTAACTGCTATGCACTTGAACAAGTCATTTGAATAAAGGGGCTCACCTATTTGATTTCCATATGCCTTGGGATCCCCTCTAGGAACAACGGGGTGGATGGGGCTGTCCATTAGAACTTCCCGTGATGATGTAAATGTTCTGTATTACACCATCCACTGTAACAGTCACCAGCTACGTATGGCTAATGCAACTGGGAAACTGAATTTCAGCATAATGTAATTTCAATGAATTGAAATTTAAATAGCCATAAGTAGCTACTATATTTGATGGCCAAAAATAAAGTACTTTTCACCTAAATCTGAGTCTACAAATATTAGAGTAATAAAAAAAAATCATCTCTTACCCTGGCCAGGTGGCTCACTTGTTGGAGCATCGTCCTGTACACCAAAAGGTTGCAGGTTCGATTCCAGTTCGGGGCACATACAGGAGACAACCAACCAATGTTTCTATCTCTCTCCTTTCCTCTCTCTAAAATCAGTAGACATATCTTCAAAAGTGAGGTTTTTTTTAAAAAAAAATCTCAAAATAAAAACAGCTAAAGTTTTATTATATGCAGCTTGATTTAAGTCTGTGGTACACTGTGAA